ACATGCTGATTTGTCCATCGGCAGATCTCCAGGCTGGGCCCGTGCCCACCACTGAGAACACAGTGACAGAAAGACTGACGTAATTCCTGCTGGCACAGCGCTTGCTGTCTCGTGAGGAAGCTAACTGATCTCTCAGGTGTGGGTCACAGCCGAGTGTAAGAGGTGCTGAGTGCTCTGAAACAGCTCAGAGGACGAGCTGCGGCTGGAACCATCCACCTCGTGTCCCCACCACAGCCACCTCATCCTGGCACGGGGGTGCAGTTCAGGACTCCACGTCTGTCTGCCTCGCCCCCTAGGTTCTCCTGGACGGCTACCTGATGCTGTGTGTGGACGGGGGACCCTCCACAGACGGCTCAGACTGGTTCTGTTACCATGCCTCTTCCCATGCCATCTTCCCAGCCACCTTCTGCCAGAAGAATGACATTGAGCTCACACCCCCAAAAGGTAAGACTGCCTTCCAGTCAGAAGGGGCAGGTGGGGACATAGGCCTAGATTCCTGGCCAAGCCAGACTCCCGGAGCTTAAAGTCTCTGAGTGGACTGAAGAGGTGACAGAGCTACCCAAGGTCACCACTAGCCCATCCGCTGGGCTGGCTCGGTCCCATGGCCAGGATTTGGTTTGGTGAACAGAGCTCCCATTTGTCCCTTTGGGCAGTGAACAGTCTGTACAGTGGGCCCATGGTCCTAGAGCACATACCAGCCTGGGGAGGAGGGAAGGCAGCTGCTGGGGAGACTCCGGGCTGGGTCCTGACCGAGCTGCAGGCGCCCTTTTGACAGTGTGGGACTTCAGGACTCCCTCCCACTCCACTGCTCTTCCTCTCCCCCCGCATCTCCGCTTTCTGGCCTCCAGGGTACGAGACACATACTTTCAACTGGGAGACCTACTTGGAGAAGACCAAGTCCAAAGCAGCTCCATCAAGACTCTTTAACATGGTGAGGAGACCGAGGATGCGAGGGGCCTGAGGGTGGCCGTGGGACCAGCCCTGCCCACTGTGAGCAGTGGCACTTCCAATCCCTTCTCTTTCCTTGAGTCTCTGCCGCTAAGGTCAGCCACTTCATGAGAGAAGTCCCAGACTGATGCAGGCACTGTGCTGAACAGTTTAGCCAGTCCCTTTCCCAGAGGGGCTTGTGCCTGGGAACAAAGTGCAGTGGGATCACTGGTCAGCGGAACCTGCCCCACAGGCACACTCAGCCCTGCCCCCTCCCCCAGGACTGCCCCAACCACGGCTTCAAGGTGGGCATGAAGCTGGAAGCCGTGGACCTGATGGAGCCCCGGCTCATCTGCGTGGCCACCGTGAAGCGGGTGGTGCATCGGCTCCTCAGCATCCACTTCGATGGCTGGGACAGCGAGTACGACCAGTGGGTGGACTGTGAGTCCCCGGACATCTACCCCGTCGGCTGGTGTGAGCTCACTGGCTACCAGCTCCAGCCACCTGTGGCCGCAGGTCTGGGCTCTCACTGTCCTCAGGGGCTCTTGACTTTTCTTTTTCCTTCTGCCAACCACGCCCCCTGCCCCCTGCACACTTCTTTCTTTGGCATAAGATCGAGAATCTCCCGGACCACTCCTAAGAAAAGAGTGGCCCTTGTCTCCCCGCCCCCTCCTGACCTCTCTGTCTCCCTCTCCCTCTGGCCTGCAGAGCTCCTTCCTTGACCTTGCCCACTCTGTCATATGCTCGCACCCAGGTAAATCCCCCAGGTCCCTCCGAGAGCCCTGGTGATGCGGGTGGGAAGAAGGGACAGCTCTTCTCCAGTCCCTGCCCGCAGCCCTCTCCCCATTCTCATTGCCCAGCTCTGGCTTTCCTTCCGGGGGCATCCCCTGTGTATGGGAGGCCGATGAGGGGTGGGCAGAGGCCTCCGGATGTGCTACAGCCTGGGTCCTCTCAGAATTCTCTTCTCACCGCTTGTCCTTGTCTTTCAACAACAGAGCCGACCACACCTCTAAAAGCCAAAGAGGCCACAAAGAAGAAAAAGAAACAATTTGGAAAGAAACGTAAGTGGTGCTCTGAAGGTGCCCAGCTGGTGTGGGACCAGCTGGGCCTGTGTCCCTGGGAGTGGAGGTGGGACGTTGCCACTTAAGCAGCGCTCTTCGTGGTCCTGCCGTCTCCTCCCCCTGCCCTTTGCCCCACAGGCCTGTGGGTCACCCTGTGTCTTCAGGGACCCGGAGCATAAGTAGGGCATTCGGTCTCTGGTAATGGTCAGGATACAGAGGAAAAGAGACCAGAGATAGCATCTGAGGGAGAAGGGCGGGTGTGGTTCCCGAGGCAGCTGCCCGGTTTGAAAATAAAAGGTCTGAGAGGAAACAGAAGGTGCTCCTCAGGGCTGTGTTTGTTCCCTCGTGACCACAGGGATGGGAGCTTGGGGCCTCTCCTTAGGCAGGGCCCCATGGGAGGGGGAGCAGGTTGGAGAGGGGCAGGGAGCGGCAGAGGCAGGGCACCCTCCCAAGCTGCGGGCCAGTGCATGAGATGCGCTCCCTGAGGTGGTGCCACTCAGAGAAGAGGATGTCTGGGTAGAGAGGGAACAAGGGATGTGGTCCTTGGGCAGCACTGGGATCCTGTGTGGAGTTGACCAATGGCAGGACCCTGAGCTGTTTAAAACGGTAGGGCTGGGAAAGTCACACTTGAGAGGGGAAGACAGTAAGGATCAGAGAAGGGAAGCTTAACCACCACAAGGGGGCAGGTGGTCTCATCTCCTATTGAAGACCACCTCTGCGGGAGGTCAGAGCGCACGCCTTCCTCCTGCCAGATTAGCACTTTCCCCTCTGCGGCGCTGCCTGACCTGACTGCTGGGTGAGACCCCACCTTCGCGCTTCACATGGATACATCCCTATCCTGGATTTAAGTTTGTTTTTATTCAAAGGAAAAAGAATACCACCGACCAAGACCCGGCCCCTCAGACAGGGGTCCAAGAAGCCCCTGCTGGAGGACGACGTGCAGGCCATGGAGAGCATCCCGTCCGAGCCTGGTCCCGATGAGAGTAAGACCCTCCCGGCGAGGTTGAGGCGGGGTCAGCGGCTTCAGGGTTCAGAGGCGGGCCCTCTCCTTCCCAACCTGGGCACAGAAGAGTAAAGTTTGAAGGGAATTTTCTGGGCACCAGGCAACCCTTCTCACTGCTGGGCCTGGAGGGCTTCCCAGTACCTACCAGCAACTCTGAATGCAGCTGAGCGTCTTGCCTGGCCCTCTCCGCCTCTGCCCCCAGCTCACATGCTTGTCAGGGTGGGCGGCAGCTGCCAGCAACTCCGGCAGCCTGCCTGGCAGGGGCAACGAGGCCCTGGACCATCTCTGCGGCCCACCCCGACAGGGGAGGAAGGGGCCCTCCCCACCACGTCCTGAGGGCCCCTGTCTGTAGGACCCACATCTCTTCCCCGGACCCTGAGCCCTCCGCTCTCCCCGGAGTTACACGCACACTCCCCTCCCTGCCCCTCTTCCTCTGTAGTCATTACCGTGCGTGTGAAGGAGGAGCATCTGGACATGGCCATGCCTGACAAGGCCCCGAGTCCAGAGCTGCCTGTGCCCATCGAGAACATCAAACAGGAGACAGACGACTGAGCCGTCCTCACTGCCAGCGCGGCCGCCTGGCTGAGGCCAACCTAGGGTGCCTCTATTGCCACCACCCCTCCACTCCACTTTACTTTGGAGACTGAGCCTTTTGCATAAATTCTGCCTGGTGCTGTGAGGGCCGGGCCCCAAAGGAACAGCCAGGGTCTCCCTGACCCGCCCTGTTGCCTGTGCCCGTCTCTTGGGCAAGGCCTACACAACAGGGGCTGCCTGAGACCCACAACCTTGCCTGTTAGCAACCCCCTCTCCAGCCAGAGTTCCTAAAGCCCTTTATTAAATGTAGCCTCTCTCCACACCCACCATGTCACTCAGCTGCCGGGGTCGGGGGCTGACCCCATCACACTGGAAGATTAGTCGGTTGTGGGGGGTGTGCTTATGCCCAAGCAAGTCACAGAAATAAAGACGTGGAGCAGCTCCCGAGGCGGAGACGGCCACCCAATTGATGGCTTGTGGTGTGATGGGTGCATCGTCTGCCTGATAATGTGCCAACGAAGTGGAACGGCCCATCCTGCCTCCTGAGTCTGTGCCCTGCTCCTCCTCGCCCCCTTGGGGGGCTGGGAGCCCCGTGCAGGCACCCAGCTCTGGCAGGAGCTGAGCAGCAGTGACCAAGATGTGGGTTTCGGTGACTTGTGAGGTGGCTTTGAGCAACTTTGTTGGCATGAATACGGGCTCCATTCTCCATTTCTAAAAGGAACCATGCAGCAGAGGCGGGGTCTACACCTTGGTAAAGGGGGCTTGCCGGGGCCCAGGGTGGGAAGACCACACCAGCCCCTTTGCCACTGGGGAGCTTGGTGGTAGAAGCAAGGCAGGGGCAGCAGGACTGAGAGGAGAGCTCAGCGTGTGTGTGCATGTCCTGAGAGGGAGACGGCTGCTGGCATTGACCTGCTCTGGAGCCCAGCTGGCCCAGGACCTGTCCTTTTCACTCCCCTCCTACCTGCTAGCCAGGGTCAGGTCTGGCCCTACCAGAAAGTCACGGGGCCTCGACAGAGGGGAGCAGTCAGCCCAGCTGGCTGAGGTCGCCCTGAAGGAGCTCCTGGAGGAAGGGGGAAGGGGAGGCTTCTGGCTCCTTTTCTCACTATCATGTCCTTAACTCCATGACGTATTTTGACTCCCCTGCTCCTGTCCGAAGTTACATTCTAGAAGTTCACCTAGTGTCTGCCCAAATTTCAGCTGCTTTTATTTTTCCCAGTTAGTCTCCACTGAAGCTGTCTCCTCCCTCTGATCTGTCCTCTCTTCAACGGTTCCTCTTCCTGGAACCTAAGGTGGTGGCAGGCGGCTGCCCTCGGCCTTTTTCTTCCCTTCTGTTTTTGGGTAGAGACAGCATGGTCGGGTGGGCCTGTGTCGTGCTTTAAGGGCTGCGGCTGTGCTGGGTGGGTGTCCAGCTGCCTGCTCTGTGAGCTGGTCCGTTAAGCTGCCACGGTCCACGCTTGCCAGTTGGTGTGCTGGCCTTGGTGTGCTCAGGACCCAGCTGTTGAGTGTCATCCCAGAGACGGTGCAGTCCTAAGGGAGCCGATTTCCAGTCAGTTCAAGGAGATCCTTTCTTCTTTTCTAAAGCAGTAGGCAGGCCCACGTGGTACAGAAGGTATCCTCTTGCAGCCCTAATTCCCCAGAGCGTGACTAGGTGTGTAACACAGTGCTGACCAAGGACGGGCAGGTCCCAGGACAGGGCCAGTCTCACACCAGACTTGGGTGGTGATGGGGGAAGAGAAAAGCATGGGTGTGCACTTTGCTCTGCTCGTGGCACCCTGCCTTTGCTGAGGTAACCTGGCCAGCTGAGAATTCATTGTCCTGGATGCCCTTGCAGGGGAAGGATCCATTCTGACCAAAGAGCTGGGAAAACAGGACTTGTACAGCATTTTGGCCTTTGGTTCCTTCTTCCTGAATGAAGAAGTGATGTCCACAGGTGCCGTGGGCACAAAAGTCCCACGGTGATGGCAGAGCTGGAGGACAAGTTTAGCTGCCATGCCAGCCCTGGGCTTCTTATCTTGTATGAGATAATTAAATCCCTTTCTAGCTGAGGTCCAGTTTATCAGAGTTCTGTTCCTTACAGTCAGAGTGCATTCTGGTGAGGGTACAGCTCAGTGGTCAAGTGTGTGCTTAGCATGCATGAGGTCCTGGGTTCAATCCTCAGTACCTCTATTAGATAGGCAGACAGACAGACAGACAGATGAACCTAATTACCTACCCACCAAACAATTAAAAAAGTGCATTCTGACATGCCACCACACAGTGTCAATTATGATTAGGTGAGTTCACACGAGTGCAAAACAATAAGGAATAAATGTCGCCTGTCATCCCCTGAGTTCCCTGTCTCCATAGCAACGACATGCTACATTCGCATTTATGTTTGCCATTCCCCTCCCAAGACCCTGAGTTCCCCAAAGGCCAAGCCCATGTTTGTGTCCCTTGTGCTTGGCACAAAGTTGCCCCCATGAGTGTGGGACAGTGTACCTAACTTGTATTGCTGGGGCCTAGAGGTCAATTTTATTTCTCACAGATGGAAGTGCTGACCTCTGGAATGTTTTAACTCGGCCCAGAATGAAACTTTTGCCTCTTGGTGGGAACTGGAGGTCCTGTCAGAGTCTCAGCAGTGGGACCACCCAGTGGCTGGGAGACACCCTAACAAACAGCCGTTTCACTCCCTGCTTCCACAGCTGGAGGACCTGCAGGGTTCCCTGGTGCAGATCAGACCACGTGCAAACTCTGGAGGAAGCCCCTGCACCTTCCTTTACTGTCACCCCGTCTACACCCTGGGCTCTGCTGGAGGGACGGGGAAGGAAGGGAACTGCCACTTGTGACAGCCTCGTGTGCAGGCGCTGGTCTGCACTCGTTCAGGCCGTACTTCATCTTCACTATAATCCTGTGAGGACACGTTGACTTCGTTTTGCAGATACGAAAAAGAAGTCTCGTTAAAATTTAGTAACTTGGTGGCTGAAACGCCCAGCTGTTAAAAGGCAGCAGTGGAATTAAAGCCAGGCTGGTCCTCCACGCACCCTCTAGTGCTCAGCACCTGCCGCCAGGTGAGCGCCCCAGCCCAGAACACCCTGCCAGGTGCCTCTTTCAATGCCTTTGTATTCCTGGGAGGAAACTGCTGCTTTCATCAAAATAAAAAGAAAAAAAATCTAGACCTCCAGGGCTAGTGTTTGGTGGAATATCTTCACGTCAGAAATGATGGACAGAAGGAATGGTCTGAGAGGTCCCGATTCCCGTTACAGCCACCAAACTGTCACCATACGTTATGGGGGGAGGGTCTCTGAACGACAGCCCTAACCTGGGGGGGACCCATGCGCCCCACCCCACCCCGGGCTGATGCAGGGAGAAAGCCCTGAGGCTGTTTACTAGCACAGATCCTGGTGGAAAGTGCCACACCAGTGTTAGCTGAGGTGAGTTTCGCTGTTGTCATTAACCCTGGTTCCAGGACTCCTAAGGCCAAAATGCTCGCCCTTGGCCTCCCAGCCCACCTCCACAAGGAACAGTTTCGGGTTGGACGATGTCTCCACAAAGAAGGTACACCTCAGCATGAGCTCTGCTTCACAGAGGGAATCAAGTTAAAATGAGGTCACCAGCGTGGGCCCTAATCCAGTGACTCATGTCCTCATAAAAAGGGGAAATTTGGACACAGAAATAGCGGGAAGATGATGTGAAGAGACACAGGTGACACCACATGACGACAGAGGAAGAGGGTGGAGTTGTGCTGCCACAGTCAAGGAACATCCGGGGCCACCAGAAGCTGGAAGGGGTGCAGAAGGAGCCTCCGCTAGAGCCCGTGGAGGGAGCACAGCCCTGCTAACTAACACCTGGATTCAGATGCCCAGACTCCACAACAGCGAGACAAGAAATCTCTTCTAAACCACCCAGTTTGTGGTACTCTGACGGCAACCCTATGGAATCAATACAAACACCCTCAGATGGTCCCAGGGCCCCCCAAGCCTTTAAAGTGTAGGTCCAGATAGGCAGGGTCCTCGCCCCACCTTCCCAGGGCCCCGCCGTGCTGGTCAGTTTCCCTCTAAGGCCTGCGGCCCCTACGGACCCTTGCCGTACAGCAGGTGTTCCCACATGGAGGGGCAGCCACATCCTGCTCACCCTTCTCTGATGAGCTGAGAGATTTTGCTACAACTGAGCTTTCCAGCGTGAATGGATCTGTCAGGATGGCAAACCTAATGTCAGGGGAGTGGTGGAGTGACGCAGAGTGGAGTCCGACCTGCAGTGCCAACAACACACCTGCACTCCTGCCCTTCCCGCCCCAGGGCCGCGCGAGGCCCCTGAGATCAGGTGGGAAAGGGCTGAGTCAAGAGGATCCAACAAGAACAGTCACAGCAGGATTCTCATGGACACACAGGGTCCCATGATGCTGCGGCTTCATCGGAAAGGCCACTGTCCCCCAGGATGAAACACCGTGTAGGCATTTCCTTACAAACCCGCCTGGGGCTTTGCCAGGTGAGGAGAGCCGGGTGGACGCTACTGAACGGAGGAAACAGTCATCGCCCAGATCTAGAACCACACAAACTGGGACCAAGACAAATCAGACCCCTGCTACCCCAGGAGCTTTGGAAACTGACCCACCCACCAAGGCTCCCCACACCTGCCCTCCAGCCAACCTTGTCTGCTCTCTGCCGTCTTCCCTTCATGGGGGTTCTCTGGGCACTGGGCCGGGGGGCTGGCGTCCGCTTGGCCTTCCTGGCAGCCCAGCCCGGGCAGGCTTCAAAGACAGCAGCTGCCGCCTTCACCCTCTGGCCACGGGCACTGGAAGGAGTGGCACAGGTGGCCCCTACACGCAGGTTCAGCCCAGTGAGCCACCTGAGAGAAAAGGGGGTTCGGGGAAGCCACTGTGCTGAGCTTTCCTGAGGAAAGTAAGTCTTCAGGAACTGGCGGCAGTGGGACCTAGTGGGTGACAGCAGACTCTGGAGAGAATCCTGGCTTAGCTGCTCACCAGTTATGTGACCCTGGCAAGTCACTTCAAACCTCAATCCCCTCCCTGCAAAAGGGGGGTAGTAATAAACAGTTCCAGAGGGCTGGTGACCCAGACACGGTTCAAACCAATCTAGATATGACATCTAATTTAATGCAGTTCTTACAAACAACCACCATGAGGTGGATACAATCACTATCATCCCATTTACAGATGAGGAAGCAGCACAGAGAGGCCTCATGGCTCAGTTAGACAGCCAGTAGAGCTGGATTTGAGCTCAGGCATGCCGGACTTCAGGGTTCTTGCTGCTTTCTTATGTAATTATGTGAAGTGCCCATGTACACTAGGTCCCACCCCACTAGCCTGGGCAGATTTCATTCCCACTTTATGGACCAGGGAATAGAAGCTCAAAGAAGCCCACCCCAAGCACCGTGGATGGTTGGCTCCCCCAGGAAGGGCAGCTGAGCCTGGTAGGGCCCTCACCCGCCAAAGATGCTCAGCTGGCGCAGACTTGGCACTCCAGGGAGAGTGGAGGCTTGACTGAGAGCAGCTGGGGGCCCCTGGCTGGGGGTCCAGGTTAGGGTGCTCACCTGTGAAGCGGGAGCAGCTGGCAGTCACAGTGGAAGGGATTGCTGCTGAGGTCGATGAGCTCCAGCTGGCTGAGAGCGGGCAGGGCAGGCAGGGCCTGCAGCTGGTTCTTCTGCAGGTGTAGGCTCTGGAGCCGGGGCCCCAGGCCCGAGAAGGCCCCGGGAGAAATCTGCAAGGAGGCACCAGGCCCTGGTGTGAGGTCCTGCCAGGACTGTCCCACCCCCAAGGCCTGGGAGGGGGCCCCATGCTGCCCTAGCAGAAGGAGAATGGAGTGCCCAAGGAGGGCAGAAAGGGCAGTGCCAGGGTGGAAACCCAGGTTGGTCCTATGCCAAAGCACTTGCCCTCTGCAAGTCACCCAGATCCCTAGTTCATGTTTCTCTCTGCTACACCCAGATGCCCCACAGAATGGCAAAGCCCTGCCCACAAAGTGTGCAACAGTAGGTAATCCCATGGACCCATGTTCCTCCTCCAGGCCTCGGCAGTGCCCTACCTGGCAAGGCCCTCCGTGTGGCACGGGATTCCTCCTGCTCTGTCACCCACACCTGAGCCCCCTGGGGCAGGCCTAGCATCTGGCTTATCTCAGGGACTTCACCCCCAGCCCAGGCCTGGCATCGCAGGGGTGGTAATCTTTGCTAAGTGAACACAAGCTGCACAGGGCCTCATGCTGCCTCCCTTCACCCTTACACCCTCTGTGCCCACCTGCTCCAGGCCACTGCTGTTCAGGAAGAGGTGTTGCAGTGAGTGGCCCACGGGCTGGAAGGCCCCATCTCTCAGGGCCCTGAGTGGGTTCCCCGAGAGCTGTAGCTCCAGGAGAGCAGGAAGCCCCTCCAGTGCCCTAGTGGGCACCTCTTGCAGCTGGTTCCTGTCTAGGTGCAGCTTCTCCAGCTCTGGGGCTGGGCCCAGTGCCCCAGAGGACACTTGGGTGATGCGGTTCCCACTTAGGTAGAGCCAGCGCAAGGCCTGCAAGCCTGACAGCTCCCCGGGGACCAGGTGTTCCACAGCATTGTCCTGTAGGTGCAGGGAGAAGAGGCTGGGCAGGGCGCGCAGGGCAGCCCCTGGCACCTGTAGGAAGCGGTTGTGCTCCAGGTACAGGTAGCCAAGGCGGGGGGCCCCTTCCAGGGCGGCAGCGCTGAGGCCTGACAGCCTGTTATCAGAGAGGTAGAGGTAGATCAGGCTGCCGAGTCCTGCCAGGGCGTCTGCCTCCAGCTCCGTGATGCCACAGTGCTGCAGGTGCAGAGACACCAGGAGGTCCAGGCCCAGGAAGGCCTCTCGGGGTACCAAGGGGAAGTGGTTCCGCCTCAAGTCCAGGAGTTGGGTGTCATTTGGGAAGCCGCGGGGCACTGCCCGCAGCCCTTGGCCTTCGCAGCCACTATGCCGGGACTCCGGGGCGCATACGCAGGCGCGCGGGCAGG